GTTGAGTGTTTTCTCCTTGGCCTGATGCTGCACGCGATTCGAGGTCCCACGGCATTCCAACCTTGCGAACATTTAGGGGACACGGGCGTGGCACGCACTGTGAAGCGTGTCGGATCGCCGACCTGGCCTTAAGATGACGCTCGCTGGAATGCCGCATTAGAGGAAGCTGCTGCCACTCGGCGGCCGGCAATATTGCGAAACCTCTTTTGCCATCGTGTCATTGCCATGTGGTCTAACGAATCCGGGGCGGTTGTGGCAAGTTCACGAAGACGCGCATGGCAGAGGACATCGTATTCGGTGCGCAAAGGGAAAACCCAGGTGTCACTGTAGTTTACACTCCGGACACATTCGACAGAGCTCTGTTCACCCTGGAAGACGATGTCGTTTCACCGATCGGCAAGAGTCTGTAACAGAAAGGTCTTCCAGAAACGAGAAGGCGGCGCTTAGCAATGAAACACTAAGGGAGACGAGCTCCGATCTCGACCACTTGCGGAATCACGCGAGGGGAAATGAACCACGGCCGGTGCCGGATGAAGCTGCCGCACGCGAGAAGACTCGACAGACGGTGCACGGCAGGGTGGGGGCCGCTTCGTGCGCCGGGCGGAATCGGCGAGACGGCGACAACGCTGCCCTCACAGGTGAGACCTGTGAAATTTCTAGCCGAGTTGGTCAAAAAGGCATTAAAACAATAAGAAACCCTGACATATGGGACGTATACAATACTCGCCCGTGCGCCGCCGAGTACCTCTGCTTGTTTATAGGAATAGAATTTTAACATTCATTGTGGTCTTTGAACTCGGAATTTTCCTTCAGTTATATTTACAACCATTCATATCAGTAGGTAGAGTGAGTCTTAAAGATGATGGGACGAACATGCTACCACTGTTAGCATAAACACTCGTCAAATAGGCGCATAAACTTCTCACGGACATTGACATTGCTGCATTGAAGGATACCGCTAATTAGCTCATCGGCATTTCCTGACTATCATTCAGTCCTTAATCTCTTCTAAGCTAGACGTCTGACACGCGTGGCCCACAATCTCCGTATCGACCACGGGGAAGGAGGTGGCATGCGTCCCAGGATGTGTAAGTGTAAGTGGAAGTGATCGAGCTGCACGCGAACGTCCTGTCCTTCCGCTTGGCCTACGGCCTAGGCGAAAGGACTCGCGCGTTAGGTCAAGATCCTCCAGTTCCGAGTCGAACTGGTACTGGATGCGGATGGATGCGGGCATCTCCGTTTTTCAGTCCTTTTGGCTAGCCTATGGCCGAGAAAGTGTTAGCCTTGTAGGCGTCGAGCTCTAGGCCATGGTAACCGAGGCATCGGTCTGGGCAGCGGATCGACGGAGTCAAATGTCCGATACGCGAGGCAAGGTGACGGAAACGAAATGCGATCGCTCTCGAACGCCAAGCAATTCCCATGAATTGCAGTGAGATATAGCACAGATGAGTGCCATTTGGATTCTACGTAGGAACGTGCCAAATGCGGATTCCGTCGAGGCCATCCGAAGCTATTCGGGGATGCGGGTCTTCATGCGAAATTGCAGTTTTTTTTTGCGCTTGGCACGTGCCGAGTCGTGTGCGTCTTGAAGATCGCGACGCAGTAAGTCGAAAAAAGTTTGACCATCCCGATCCCACACTTCGACGCGCTGCGTCCCATTTCCCCCGCCGAAAATGACTTGCGAGACCCGATTCGTGCTCTGACCCTCGCGAAGCAGCGTTTCTCCCGAGAGAGATTATTATTAGGGAATATTAAAAAATGACTTCATGTGGAGCTTGCTGTTTTGAGTCGCCGGGAGAAGAGATTCGCTCGGGCTCGTCCGGTCCACGCTGCTCCGAGGTTTTTTTTTCCCTTTCCTGCTGCGGTTTGTCTCCAATCGTCGTTGTTTTCTCCGTCAGCATGTTTTTCTCCATATTCGGGTCGTGAAAACTCGTCGGCAATGTAAAGCCTAACTTATCTAACATTTACGCCATTTTCATATCAAATATATATTTCCTACGTTTTTGTCGCATCTCATCAATTGGTAATAATATAGAAGCGGTCCCTTAGTTAAAGTTTCCTGACCGGAAAAAAAAGGGTTCACACCCTCCCGAGTCCTTTAACACACATTAACAGGTTCTGAACGTTCCGGCAGAGAACGACCGAAACGCAACCGTTTCCCACGAAGTTCTGCCGACCCAATTCTCACGGAAGTCCTTTTTCCCTGAAATTGACGAAGGGCATTTGGCACGAATTTGCCACAAGGGGCACTTGGCACGAATTTACTGCAAGGGGCATTTGGCACGAATCGTCACGCGTGTGAGTGGGGCGAGCTGGAACCAGCTGGCTACCCTCCTAACAGTTATCAAATCATTCCAGGATCATTTCCTTTATCTTTCTCTAAATCTTTTTCTTAACCTTAATCTTTATCTTGATCCACACGCTGGCTGGCGAAAGACTTAAACGGGTGGCTGCTCGGTGGAATATATAATATTCCTCGGCAGCCAAATGTTTGAATGGAGGGAATGTATTGGAAATAAAATATATGGTAACTCGGGGGGAATATGGACATTGGGGTCGTTTTTCCCGTTCGTAATTTTCCCCTCAAACAGGCTAAATTTTTGGTTCATGCTAAATTCGAAGATAAGATCATGGAAGCGTATCTGTATGCATTAATATGATGTGCATTATTATAATACGCATTAATGTAATATAATATGCATATAATATAATATCCATTAATATTTCTAACTTGAGTTGCTTGCAACCTCTCGATTCACGGCGCTGAACCTTGCGTGAACCTTGAGCAACTTGAGCCCTTATTTATTCTTAATTTATGCAGGAACCAATTTTTTCAAGGTCATGCGAGTTTCCCTTCGGGATGCAGGTGGGAAATCTTTAAATGACGGTTTTGCAGGCAGTGTTGCCAACTTCGTCACAGAATATAATGAATTCATTTCAGGAGCGACCCGAGGCAACAAAGGATGATCTCCTACGTCAGCTGGATATCCGCCTGAGATTATCCGATGGAAATCCTCACGTAACGCGTGATTCCCATCAGTCGGATGAACTCCAGAAAAAAATTTCGTCGCAAGTAAAAATTAAATCACACGATTTAATAATAATTATCTGCTGTCTGGATCAGTTTGCGCTCGATACGTTTCGCCACGCTTAGCCAATTTGTATCGTGACTAACGGGCCACTGTGACCTAGGCTTTTCCTACCGTAAGCCTGAGGCCCACAAGACCTTGCTCTTCTAAGCCTTAGGTGAGTCCGAAGGAGATGGAAAGTGAATCTGTTGGCTCGTGCATGTTAGTCACTGAGACTCATGGACGTGTTAAGTAACAGAAACGCGTCTACGATCACAATCCATATCTAACGTAGCTATTAGAACATATCCGGCATCGTACATTAAAATGCGACCTTTTGACCGAGTCACCATTAATCCTTCATGCGAATCTGACTCGTGGGCTGTATCACGTACCATTGGCGTAGGCGGAAAATCGGCAGTTGGGGTGGTGGAGCCGAAATAGACACCCCAACTCTACGCTTGGCTCCACCAAATCACTGGCGATCACTGGTGCGTCGTGTGGCGGCATTAATTCAGTCTTTTTCGACGTCAGTTCCCCGAGGTACTTTCCTGCGCTATGGCGCCAGACCAACGAACCGAAACTGTTCCTTGCTTGTGCTCCAGTCCCGACGATGCGGTACATGAATAAGTACTTCTTTGATAGTGAAATCCTCAATAAAAAGATTTGACAATGAAATAAACGTCCGTTTCATTCCCGCATTCCTTAATCTCCCATCGTTCCTACCATATTTATTTATTACTTATTATTACCTTTACTTGACCCATATCGAACTATCGATGATTGTTTTCGCGCGTACAGGCAGGGATACCACGTGGTACTCAGCATCTCTTTCATGTACTGATGATGAATTTTGGCAGGCAGTATCTGACTTTTTAGCGGATGAGCCAAGCCAAAAAGTGTAGGTAATATAATACATGAGCTACTTACATGCGCTAATATACGAGCTCAACTCAAAATCGAAACAGCGAGATTCGTTTCCTCGTGTCTTCATTATTCTTTCTGCATCAGATGAAGAACTTGGAAATTTTCTTCGGCTTCTTAGATTTGGAAGAGCTTGCACACCGCAAATCTCCAGATTCGGTCCCTTCAGGAATCGTATGAAAAAATACTTCTGCAATAGTTGTTGGGAAGAAAATGCGTCCAAAATTTGCAAAATAAACTCACTCCTTGCGGTTGGAATGGACACTGAAACCACCGACGATGTAATAGCCAGGGTCGACGGAATAGTCCAAGGGTCGGTCGAAATCGTGCAGGAAAGAAGAAGTCCGTCCAGAAAACTCCTTCCAAGTGGCAGCATTTGAAGTCGAACCGGCGATCCTCGGCGGTGTCGGAATGCACGCTTGCGACTCCAGCGACGACGCCATTGCCGGGGCACAAGGAAGAGATGGGTTCGTCGTATCGGTTGACGTAGCCGGACTGAGAGCACGCCGAGTATCCCGTTTCCACGGGACCGCAATCGAAACTCCAGATCCTGTCCTCGCGGCCATTATGATGTACGCTCTGCTCCAGACAGATGAAGTTGCGTAATGTGAGTGCAGGTACGCGCGTAATAAAGGAATTTGTTGGAATTTTCATTGTCACTGGGAAGCGGATGAGAATTTACCTGCACGCGGATGATGGCTTCGCCGAAGGGGCAAGCAAAATTGAAGGGCTCGTCGTAATCGTTGACCCATTTCTGTTCGGGTTCGGCAGACGCAGCGGCTCCCAGAAACAAACACGCGATGACCATTGGCAATGCCATGACGAATTTTTATGCGTCTGTCTGAAAAATAGGTGGAGATGTGTCACCTGGGTTTACAGCTTTAACTGGGGCCCGAGGCTTTCTCTGCCTCAGTTTTCATTTCCACGTGCTCATCTTGAAAATGCCTTAAGCAACAGCTAATAGCCCCCCTCTTCAGAACAATTTCCAGGGCCGACTGAAGGGAAGTCGCTAATCGCGACTTCCCTTCATTATAATTGGGCATGTCTTGGCGAATACCCCAAGTCTCCAGAAGAATGCCTGAGGTCGTCATGCCTCACAAAACCGTGCTGATAAAAACTTCACTACAAACTCAGGAGATCTTCTTTCCCTAAATCGTCTTAGTTTTTACCATTATACGATTTACATATTTTATTTGCTAAAAAAAAAATAAACTCGTTACACAGCTGTTTTGTGTCTGGTATTTCTTGGCTACCTTGTAGTTTCCTTCACCAGGTAAGGTTATCCATACTGCAAGTACAGGGTGGTCCATAAGAAAATGTATCTGATTAATGACTAAACTTTAAAAATACTTTGGCTTTTGGGAACTCCATTTCAGCACCAATCAAACACAGACATCAACAGGAACTAAAGAACGGCCAAAGTTAATAACCTTCCCCATAATATCAAACCTAGGTTAATAAATAAAAAATGTGCGGTCGAAAATCCTTTGGCAAACTTACTCATGGGCCAAAATGCACTATAGGTTCTCAACCTTTTTGTACCCACGGACCCCCCCCCGGGTTATCGGGAACTTTGGAACACTTGGATTTGCAATTATAAATGATGTTTTTTGGCGGCTACCTTCAATTATATATTTAATTTTCCATGGGCCCCAGGTTGAGAACCCCTACACTATAGCGAAGCGGATTCACACACTTAAGTTGACCAGTACTCGAATATGCAGCACGTTTTGAGCTTCCCTTTACTGATGATTATGTGCAATGGGGTAGAGCCGTGCTGGCGGGCA